GAAACCGGGGAGAGCCTCTGATTCTGTCCAAAGGTCGCGCCTTTACGCGGTGCTGGAGGAAGTTATAGACAGGATAGAGATGCACAGAAACATCGGAGAGCAACGCAACAACTGGAACTCCCTCATGCTCGGTTCCATCAACACCATCACTCTGACAGGCGCTTTAATGGCGGGAATGGCGTCCGGCGGAGGAGGAGATTCTGTCATGGCCATGAAAATGGCTTCGACGGTTTTGTTGGCCTCGGCTACGAGTATGGTCGCCATGATGAACAAGATTCAGCCATCTCAGCTGGTGGAAGAACAGCGTAACGCCACGAGGCTTTTCACTCAGCTCAGATTCAGAATCGAGAGCGTTCTGATGAGAGAAGAGACAGAAGTTGGAGAAGATGAAGTGAAGGAAGCGATGGAGAGAGTGCTGTGTATAGACAGAGCTTACCCTCTTCCCCTCCTCGGAGCAATGCTCGAGAAATTCCCGAAAGAGTTCAAACCCTCCATCTGGTGGCCTCAAAACAATCGAAAAAAGGCCCAAACCCGCTCTGTAAATCGATCAAAGATAGAAAATGGATGGAGTAAAGAGCTGGAGATGGAGATGGAAGAGGTGATGGAGGTGGTGAAGAGGAGAGATTCGGAGGAATACAAGAACCTTGGTGACAAAGCGTTGAGGCTAAACCGGGTCTTGGCCATGTCCGGACCGGTTTTGACCGGAGTTTCCGCCATAGCCTCAGCTTTTATCGGTCACGGTTCGTGTTGGGCAGGAGTTGCAGCCACGACGTTAGCTGCGTTAGGATCGGCGGTGAACGCGTTAGAGCATGGTGGCCAAGTGGGGATGGTGTTTGAGATGTACAGAAACAGTGCCGGATTCTTTTCTGAGCTGGAAGATTCGATCAGATCCACCATCGGAGAATCTGAAACGGGGAAGAGAGAGAACGGCGAAGTGTTCGAGACGAAGATCGCGTTGAAGCTCGGGAGGAGCTTGTCTGAGCTGAGAGATCTCGCGAGAAAATCGGGTTCCTCTCGTGTTGAAGGATCCGCCATTGATGAGTTCGCGAGCAAGCTTTTCTAGT